ATTGTTTCTTTGTTTCATTCTACAAGTCTTTTAAGCAAATTCCATCCCTAAGAAAGATGCAGGAATTCCTTCTAATCCAGTCTTATGACATTATTTTGGCATTTGGGAATAACTTTACATTAACACTGTTATGAATGACATTTTGATGCCTGCAACTTGACTAATTAATTTTAGATGTTCATTCTAGTCCAAAAGCGGTTTATTAACAGTTAAAGTTGCTGTTCAGAAGAATGAAGTAGGGCTGTTTTGTGTTTTACACATCATATTCTTATTTTAGAGAGAAAGTGAGAATAGATACACTAAATAAAGAGATTTAACTTATTGTCCTTTTACATGCTTTTATGGAGAACAAAATGAGCAAGAGAGCTTTGTGCGGATTGTTTATGATGTAGAACCTGATACTGACAGTCTCTTTTGGATGATATCAAAGTTATACAATCAACATGTATCTAAATATGCGTTACATTCCTCCTGTCAAATTTCAATGATAGGAATGGTATTTCTACTCCAAATAACATTTTAAGGTTAGTGATAACTATTTGAGAAACAAAATTTATAAGAACATCACATATAATGCATAATCAGCTTCCTGTTAATTTTTAAAAGTATAGATAATGATATGGTAGAAACAGAACCATTGATGCAGGCATTTATTTTTCTTTCCTGCTGCTTGCTACTGAAGGAAATAAGTTTATCTCAAAAGTAAATGCAAGATTTGTGAATAATTTATTGGTTTTTGCTAGTTGGAATCACAAAGCATACTTAGATGTTTGGTTTATTTTGAAAAGTTCTTGCACATTGAATTGCAGCCATGTTATTTTTCATTTTGGAGTCATGGTTTTCAAATCAAAAAAAGCTTGTGTGGGCCCACAAAATAGGTGGAATCGGCACCCTTTGTTTCTCCAATGATGTGCAGAGAGAAACATACATTTCAGGAAGAGAACTAGAGCTAAACTTATTATATATCACTTTTGTTGGTTCCATTTCCTGTTTAACACAAACTATCGTAAGTACTGGGCCTTTTGCTACTATTTGTGTGTGTTTATCTTGATAACATGGATGGGAAGAAACTTGAATACAAAGGTGAGGAGGCATTAAAGGAGATTGAGAAGCTAACAACAGAAGCTGATAAAGTTCAAGAGAACATGTTGAAAGAGATCTTAGAAAAAAATATGGAAACTGAGTATTTGAGTAAGTATATGAAAGGTTCAAAAGATATCTCAGAGTTTAAACGTTCTGTTCCTGTTACTACCTACAAAGATATCTATCCTTATATCCAGAGAATTGCCAATGGTGAAGACTCTTCTATTCTTACTGGTCAACCTATAACTGAAATGTTGTGCAGGTATTACTCTCCCTTCATTGGCCTTTTCCTTCTTCTATGTAGCAGCTATATACTTCTATCATATTAGAAAAAAATACTTACCCAGAACTATTTGCAAGTTAACAAGTTGTCTTCTTGGTAATTACAGTTCAGGAACTTCAGGTGGAGAACCGAAGTTAATGCCATCAATAGCAGAAGATCTTGACCGTCGGACCTTCCTATATAATCTCATCATGCCAATCATGAACCAGTAAGATTACCCACCATTATCTTCTTTCTTTCCATTTCTGTGTAACTTAAAACCATTCTTTTGTGCCGAGCTGGACTCATCTGGAGCAGCACTTAGTGTGTTACAATTGGCACTAGAAAGAAGCCTCTTGAAAGTAAAAGGACACCCATGTGTAGACAATATAGCTGGTGTCCACACTTTCATTTTGCCTTTCAACATCTTGTTTCATAGGATTCAGGCTACATGCATTGTATCCAAGTGGGCCGTTGTGTGGATAGGCTAGTTTGGCTATACACAGCACTCACTGAGTACATGCATTTTAGTTATTTACTTTTCCCTACTCCAACAATGCATTGAAAAGATCCTTGGAATATACAACACTTGGACGAGCATCCACAATAAGGTTACTTCATTTCATACATATAAGACGCATCTAGTTAATTCAATAAGCTTTCTGTATGATTCACAGTTCATTCAGCACCAACATGTTTCTGCC